GCACCCGTCTTTGTCCATCCAATGCTTTGGATGGAACATGACTTTGCTAGGCCCATCCTAAGAAGAAAATCGTCTTGAAAGCGTCCCGTCAGGCTGGCCAGTCAAGATAATCATAGGGGCAAGAATTTGAGATTGGAACATGCTACCATCAAAGTGCACCCTTTCTTGGCATCCTCGGCTCGGTTGGAGCCGACTCGTCGTACATTCGTTGGGGCAATCAAAGGGGTATCTTTCGGGTAGAACGGAAGAAACATTTCGTCGGCATTGACCAAACGGGTCACACCAGCAGATCGCATGATGCTACAGATCAAGGCACAGGCATTCCAACAAATTTGTAACCAATTGACAGGAACCGTCTAGGAGATCGATTCCTTCCGAATTGAAAACCGATGTCTCTCAAGAACTCTGGCGACCCAATGCGAAAGGAGATATTCGCCCCGAATGATTCTTCATCTTCAACTTCTATTCAGTGCGTTCCGCTTCCTGTTCATGGCCAAACGTAGAGATCAGCAGATCAAAGGCTGCCGACTTGCTCAATGGGTTGCCTGTTTCCCATTTCATCACCACAGTCGAGATAAGGAATTCTTCTTGCTAAGCGTATTTTCACTTTTCTTCCAGAACCGACCGTCTTGATTGTTTGGAGAAGATATGCGATTTTGTCAGATTTCCCCGCCTCTTTCCGATTCTGTTGACGAGTACCTGCAGACAAGGCCGAGACGTACTGATGACCTGGAGTGGAATTATGAAACTCTGAATCGATCTGCACCTGGCTTGAAGCGTCCACATTTTTGTAATTCTTTCGATATTTTGCAGGAACGTCAGGCAGGATATCAGAGACTTTAGAAGCTTCAACATAGTGGACCCATTTACCGAAATACCTTTGCTGCTTGATCCAATTTTGAAACGTCATGTAGTTGAACGAGAAGAGAGAGCTTCTTGGTCCATGTTTCCTAAAGACTTGTGAAAGTAGAAAAATATGGCTTTCGATTTCTGCTCCCACGTCCTTGTACGATACAAAGCAATGGTCTGCTTCCCTGTTGTTGTAAAGGATTTCGAGAGCTCCTTCATCAATGTACGGTGAAGTTGCTGCTGACGAGCCTCAATTACAATCTCCTTCGGGGCAGAGCTCGAGCTTGCCGCTGAACCGAGGGCAGTTTCAGGGTGAAGTTCTGGAAACATTTCACGACGGACCAAGCGTGAAACATCCTTAACGTTCTGTTTGGCTTTGTGGCGCTTCTCTTGAGCTTCCACCCATTTCTTGTTTTAGGGATTTGTCAGTAAGAACCGCTTCATCTCAGGTGATAATAGGTAGCACAATGGTACGGTAATTCGAAATGAACGAAAAATCACAATAACATTAAAAATTGATGGGATTTATCCAGATTGTGATTTTTTGAGAAGCAATCTTTTTGTTAATTACGGTAGTAGACCCAAAACTCTCGGGCATGAACTAAGTCCGAAGAACAATAGTGCAGACGGTTTGTTCGTTTATTCTCATTGCACGGCTCTTGACTCTCGATTGTCCTTCCGTAAGGTCTGGTTATTAATAATCTTTGATCTGTCGAGCACTTCAAACAAGCCACAGTTTATGTACCTACACCATGATAGGAAGCGCGCACCTTTACAGTTTGGCAGTTCAGTATCTCGACGCTACTACGCCGAAACTGTTAAAAGTGCCTGGAAAATGCTCGGTTGTCTGCATTCGAAGATATTTTATAGAGAGAATAAAAAAAATGCCCCAACTTTGCCATATATAAAAAAATATCCCAACTTTTCAAAAAAAAAAAAAATATCCCAGCACGTAAATTATCACCGGGGAGCCGTAATATTACACAACAGAAGTATTGTATTAGGAATGAAGAAGCATAATTTAACAAAATACCCCACAATAACAAAGTATACATTAATATGCTATTAACCAAGTAAAGCTAAATCAAAGAATACGTGACTTCTAACTATTAACCAAGTAAAGCTAAATCAAAGAATACGTGACTTCTAACCAGGTCCCACATCAGCTCAGAAGGTAGAGCGCTTC